TTAACGTAACGTAAACCAAAAACTAAACGTAGGTAAGTACTAACTAACAAACAATAATACTACAATAGGCACGTGTGTGTGTGTGTGTGTGTGTGTGTGTGTGTGTGTGTGTGTGTGTGTGTGTGTATATAGAACTACAGTTTCAAAAGTAACATGTGCCTTTAAAAATTTACAATTACAAAAAACTAGAGATTTTACTCAGTTTTTCTTCAAATTATTTAATCATTCGATGTTATATAAAATTAAAAAGTGGTGACTCTTTCAAACTTACAAGATTCTCCTAACTTGATTAAACATACTAACTCTCTCATTACAGGCTCAATCGATTCAACCTAAAATTGACATTTAGAATTTCCATATAACTTGTAATACATTTTGTGTATCTTCACAATATTTCACAAGCTTTCATTAAACATTGAGTCATTTCTAGACAAAAACTCAGAATTTCTAACGAAGCATTTTCACAAAAAATTTTTCCGTGAATATATGGAATCAAAGTGTTGGTTGCTCTGAGTTTAAAGTGATTTTCATGCCAAGATTAAAAACCCTTTTCTTCATCTAAAAAAATCTCAAATTTCATTTGCAAAATTTATAAAACTTGCCAAATAAATTTCAAACATTTTTCTTCAGTAAAACTTTATATTTTATCTGTTATATTCTCTATATGAAGTTGGTCAAATTTACTGACCTTGTAACTACCAAAAAAAAAATCATTGAAATAAATCTAAATTGCCCTTGTTTCTTTTTAGAATAATTTTAAATTGCACATGAAACTACATTTGTTTATCCTAAGTAGCTTTAAACTCATAACAATATACATCTGTTTATACTTAAATTTTATTGTTTTATTGCCCTTTGAACTGTGTCTAACTAATATTCCCATCATACAAGTTGTAGATCATTTGGTGGACATGTAGCTCATGTTATCCTTACAAATGATGTAATGCACAGGCCACTTATTGCTAGTAAGTGTATACCTCATGAACAAAATTTATTTTTTATTATTTCTCTTTACTTTACTTAATCTAATCTAAAAAGTCTCTAATTTTTACATGTTAGTTACATTTATAATAATTAATAAAAAATACATATGAAAAACAAGAAATATAGTACTTACGTGGGTCATCTTTTTTTGCTGTTGACTGTCACTGAAACTTTACTTTTTTTATACTAATGGTACTACTGCACTAAATAACTTATTATTTAATTAAACACAGAATAATAACATACAAAAAGCAAACAATGTTCTATAACTATTACAATTTTTCTGGCTTTCTAACTATGCAACAAGAGCCATTAAAAATTCAGTTAAGTTTGTCTATGGGTTTCCCATGGGAATAAAGTTTGAACTGAAAGCAAAATATACAATTCTCTGTACAGCAAAGAACATAATATAATACATCAATTGATAGATTAAAGCTTTGGATTTCTATCGGTTATAAATAATATAGTATTAAATATCAGACAAAACTATTGAGAATTTCTGAAAGAGAAGATGTGACAGGTGGGCATGACAAGAGGGGGCTGACTTTCTACTTTATGGCTCTGTAACCAAATAAGATTAAAGGCTATAAAAACTATGCTTTGCTTGAGGGATTACAACATTATAATGAGTAATTTACATTAAATATTGCACTTCCTGGAAAGGTGGTAAAAAAATTAAAGAATGGATACCTAGAGCAAATGTCACAATTCTCATACTACGGGAGGTTCAAGATCTTTTTAAATTATACCATACAAAATTAAAAAGTTAAATATATATAGTATTAAAATTTGAATTATTAGCTACATTTTTATGCCAAATTTATTGGTATACCTTGATAAGAAAGTAGGTTAATTAAATTTTGAATATAAATCAGTAAGACCTCATGATATGCACAGAAATGGATGCCCATAGCAAGAGGGTTAAGCAAAAAAGAACTTCAAATGTTTACACCACCTGAATTATTTATATCATTTTTGGTAGTTTTTCCTATTAGTAAAAAAACATTGATAACTAATATCTGTAGTTACTTTGTAATTTTCTGTATTCATTATAAAACTACATACAAGTTGTAAAAAACTAATATTTCCATATATGTTGTTGAAGGAAGTAAGCATGAAGATGAGAATGCACACAACTTGCAAGCTTAGCTAAATGAATCAACCTCAGATACAGTGAAGTGCAGGTAGAAAATAAGATAAATTTGTAATAAAGGAATATTGTTTAATGGTTTTACCTGGATATATCATTCAGATGTATCAGGCATTGTTTACTTCTGAAATATCACTTTTATAAAGTAACTGTGAAAACCAAACCTAATTGTAAATTCTTCTTAAAACCAATTGTAGAGTACTTTTGACTACCAGCAAACAAAAATAAATTAGAAATCAAATAAAAAAGACTGGAAATTGCCAGTTATTAGTCACTGAACTGGAAGCTTCTATTAGATCGTCAAGAGACTAATGTCGCTTTTTTTTTAGATGAAAAAACTCGAACAACTTATACATCAAAATAAAACATTTATTAAATGAAATA